CCCCAAAACCCCAAAACCCCAAAACCCCAAAACCCCATAATTCCATTTTGCAAACATTTAATGTGAATATGAATTTATTTTAAAAAGAATTTTAAATTTAAAGTTGAATCAAGAAATTAATTAATATCATTTGCAGAGTATCATCATCATCACTCCTGCAAAACATAGAGCCATACCAATAGTCTAATAAACATTCGGCAATAGGCCTTGGAATACTGCAATAATTAAAGTTGAAAATACCGGGCCAGTATTGGTAATTGCTATTGTAGGTGCTGATAATCCTTTTACAATTGCATTTATCATCGTCATCATTGAAATCTATGTTAGACTAGATGCAACGAAACTTGCACCGATATTATTCCAGGTATATGAAGGATGACTTATTGAAAAGTAATAAATTGAAAAAATGAGCTAAATTATTCCACAAATAAAAGCAGCATCAATTGTGAACTAATTAGGAGAATAGGAATGCCTTGTACTAATAAATTTGGCTTAAATCAGTCTCAAGAGATTTGTAAATGCAAAGAGCATTCCAAGGAAAATTACTAGGTGCAAATAACTCATTCTTTCTTCTTCGGAGTATTAATTTAAGCTAGATTAGGTTTTATCAGTTTTAGATATTAAAATAAGTGCAGTACCCCCAGATGTCACTATTATACCCAAAATTACCAATTTGCTTAACTTTTCTCCAAACATTATCCAAAATATGATCACTTAAAATGCTGTAGCGACGCAGTTTAAACTTAAAATGATTCCAAAATTTATTTCAGCTCTCTAAGAATAGTCTGCCATTAAAATTGTGAGCCAAATGACAAAAATAAAGTTAATTGATCTAAACGCGAGATGATATCTGTTTAGTTTCTTGGCCATCTAGCCAAAAAATATTTAGAATACTGTATTTTTATTAACATCACAAAGCTAGCTGACTTCATAAAGTTTGTAGACAAGATAAACAAACAAAAAGCCAGTCCAAGAGAGGCAACTTACAGCAAAGTCTTGCTTGTCCAATAATTTATAAGTGCAAGTGCTTACTCCCCAAAGCATAGTTCCCAATATTGTTTAAGTCCAGTAAATTTTAGCAGCAGGAATTACTGCAGGTGCAGGAGCCTCCTTGCTTGATTCAACTATTGGTATCAATAATCCATTTTCATCAAAAGTATTATAGTTTTCCGCTTCTAGTTATTTCTCCATAAATATTCTAACCAATGCAAAGAATTAATCATTCTATTATTTACTCTTAATCAGGTGATAGCAATGTTTCATCACTGTGTTTTTCTCTAGAGCCGTTTGACTTTAACGTTTATTCTTCCATTTAAAATTCAAATTTTAAATTCTTTTTGAATATTTAAGAAGTATTTCCTATTTCTTAATCACGGGGTTTTGGGGTTTTGGGGTTTTGGGG